GCTGTTTATTATGTTAATGCTTACGAATTCGAAATTATAACTGTCAACAGTGACGTGGGAGTTAAGCCGCGAGTGCGACGACTGTTTTTTTGACGACAGGAGATATTTCGTCTTTCCCTCGTTCACTACCAGATACATTTGCTTCGCTTTTTTATCTAATATCTAGAAAGCAGAACTACCGCACGGTTGTTATGCCAGACAGATTGAGGAAATCATACTATAGAAAGTCACTTTGTCTGAAAACTTGTTTGGTATCCAGAGCTCCTTTCGTGCTGTCAAAAAAAGCTTTAAAATCGAGGAGAAGAGGTGATGTGTGTCGCGCCTCTTTACATTGGATCTTTTACAAGCTTTCGTCTGACCATATTCTAAAAAGAATCTGGTGGACGCTCCTTATTTGCTATTCACCGTCGTACTCTTCCATAGTCAAAATTGATATTATTTTGGACTCTATTATCTGATTTCGGTCAGAAATATGACAGTTTCTCACAAAATTAGATGTATAATTAGATCCTATTCAATTTATTGGAAAAATACTGTTTCGCCGTAATTATGCTTTTTTCCGAACCAACTTTCCAAATAAGTTGAATAAAGTTGCATATTCTTAGTCATATCGATTTCAGTCAGAAATTTCTAGTTGCAAACTGATATATTTATTATTATTTATTATAAGTGGAAGCACTTTGGTTCTCAATAGATGCCGCCAATAATAATTTATGGAAGGTTACACTGATCTATATAATTCAGTACATAATCATATGTATGTAACTATATACAGAAATATGTATGCTTATTCGCAAAAAGTTTCCCACCATTTCTAAGCCTCAACAAGTTTCTCAGAAGGCCACTCTCTAACGAAAATTATCGCTAAATTGCGTATAAATTCAAATAAAAGTAACAACAACATTAGCAAAAACTCGCAGTCGAAAGAACAATGAAACAAGCATAGCTACAACAACACAAACCTGGACATTTGTGCAAAAAAGGTGAAACATGAAAGACTTTCAAATTTATGCGTGTTGAAAAGTCGGAAGTGCGATCGCCACGCCAACGCTGCACATCTGTCACTACAAACTCAGCAATAAAGTAGATCAAATAACAACAATAGCAACAATGCAGAAAAGTAAAAACATGAATTTTGAAAGATAAAAACCCGAAGACGAGCAGCAGACAAGGCACATGTGTCCCCAGCCTTTTTGGTAGGTACTTAGTGACTGTTGCTGCCGTTCAGTGACAAGCATAAGGACCTGGACGCACCGCGCTAAAAGGCCGCCGATGAGAGAGAAAAACCAATGAAATTCCGTAAGGCTGGCGGTGGCAGCGGCGTTGGGTGAACTTATTAAAAAACGATAAACCCATTCATTTGCGAATTGTTGAACACCTTGGCGACACGCAACGGCCCAGCCGCTTGCCACATCAAATTGCAGCAAGCGGAATAGTCGAACTGGACAGGCGGTATGAACACTTCATTGAGGGTACATATATTGCGCAGCACTGCGGGCACTACACTTAGAGCATATCCATCAATTGGATGGCTCGGACGTCAGAATTATTGAATTTTTATGCTAAAATTCTATTTCCCGCTACCACACTTACCTATAGCGGTGGCTCTGCGACTGCCGGCTGTCCACCGCAACTGCACCGGCTGCAACATGCTGTTGCTCTCGATCTGACGCAGCAGCTTGCTGTTGAGTTGCTGACTCGACTCGTGTAATAAATTTACCAAAGACTGTGTTGACTAAGCAAACAGTCGCAGCACAAAAAGTGAAAGAAGAGCCAGAGAAACAACACAGGTTTACTTTAGTTGCTTGGGCACGTCTGTAAGCGGTTGCCCCGCCAAGCGATCGACCCTTTCGTCCATTTGCGCACGCTTGCTCAGGTGTTTGCCAACGCAACAAAAAGCAAAAACAACTAAAACCCGCAAAAAGTTTCTCGATCAGGCTATGCGCGTCTGTCCATCGCTTCATCGCCCGATCGTTGCTCATGCGATCGATTGTTTGTTTTATTCATGAGCGCGCGCGTTTGCGCACATTTCCTACCAAATGGTGCACGCATGGACAGCCGTTTCAACTTGCCACACAGTGGGGTGATCGCATTGTCTCATTGATTCCTGATAAGTCAATGAAAGGCACATCAAATGACAAGAGTAACAAAACATGGCCAAGTGCTGCAAATAAAACTGAAGAAGTCGTAACGGCAACACTAACAATAAAGCAGCAAGGTTTTTGTACGGCGCAATTCAAGCTCAATGACTCGGCCCGGTGTGCGATCAGCGTAGTCCATTAGTTTCATCTAAATTTGAAATTAATAAACATCCATACACACACACACACACAAACTTCCAGATCAACTTTTATTTTAGACGCGGGTAGCGCTGATCCGCGATTTATGCAACCTTCAGATATGCGACCACCTTTTTATAGCTTTGAGCAGCCTCTTTGTGGATCAACATTAATTACATAACCCTCTCCTGTCCGCTCATGCAAAAGTGCTCGCTTCTAGCTTTTCGCTTATTTTATGATAAATGATGTCGCGCTGATTGAGGCGCCTGCGTCTGGACTCAACTCTACCGGAGTCTGCAACATTGTTTCCAGATGATCGCGCGATAAGCAAACCAATGCTGCTGAATTTTGAATTTCGTATCAGCAACAACAACAAGCATCATGGCTGCTGTGACAGCACTTTTGTCAGTCACTACAAAGAATCGCTCATTTAGTAATGGCTTTCAGGCAATTAGAGTTGATAAGCCAGCAGTTGCTTATAACACACGTTGCCTCCTCACTAAAGCGGGTTTAAGCGAACGGCATTTTATTGCGATTTATATTTATAAATACTTGTTTGCAATAATGAAAATGTTAGCAAGATTCTTTACAGATTCTTAAAATCGGTATTTTAGTCATCTACTTCATATTTAATTTGAGTGTCGTTGGGAACAGCTGAGAGAATTTTATTAGATATTTATCAGAACTCAGGGGAGTCGCAACGGGCTTGCGTAACAGGAGGGGTTAGCAAAAGGAAGAGGAAACACAGGTCGTCCGAGTGGTCATGATGATCCTTGTAGGGGAGGAATGAGTGATGGCAGTTTAAAATGGTACCCAAGGCACCTCCTGTAGTTAAGAACTCCTGCGGAAGCAGAGAGATGCAGAGAAACAGGGTCAGAGGCAAAAATGTTTTTCCTGTCTTGAAGATACGTAAGCGCGGAAATACCGCATCCGGTAGTAAACGGAGTAACGAGGCTCGCATCCACGGAGCAGTCAATGGAAATCCAACTGGAGGAGCCGGCAACCTCCAAAAGCCAGAACAGCAATTATGCTCAGATAGCTGGAGGCCAATTCTCCACACCTTATCCTTCTCGGGTAGCTGAGGGTCAGCGCATATATGCGGATGCCTTAAAAGCCATCCTGCCTCTGAACTACTCGCCGGAGACTCTTACTGAGGTCTTACCAGTTTGGAGTTTACTCCAATCTGTTCATTGGGTTAGTCCCTTTGTGGAAATTCGCATTGGCTGTGGTTTAAACCTTAGGTCATGAAGAGTTGAAAAATCCAAGCCAGTGTGGAATCGCACAGAGGTTTTAAGTCGGTCTTGAACCCGACCAAGGTGGAAAATGTGTCCCTTCCACCTAGACCAGTTGGAACCAAAAAATACGTTCAAAAAGCATTTGTTATTTGGGGCGCTGATCAGCGCAGCGTATTGATCTATGTGCTTTTTGAAGCACCGTTAGGTTAGGCCGATTTCGATTTCGGAACATGATACTTTTACAACAGGCGTGGAACTTTGTTAATGAATGGAGCGCGACAGCCCCAATAGACCTCAGAAGAAAAGAGTGACAGAGAAAGAGATGTATGATTAAGTGAAATAGAAAAACTTTTAGATCGAGAGCCAACCGGCTACAGCGTCTCCATGCGAAGGTATGCATGGCGGAATTAGTACGTAGATGTCCTACTTCGCAAGTCCGGCATAGATTGGCACTGCATGCGCGAGTAGGATGAATCGTGCATTCCGTTTGATCTCTGACAAAAAAAAAAAAAAACATTGTCGAGTGTACAGCGTTCAATGTGTTGGCATTTTGACTGGAATCACCAGAGTACTATATAAACAGCCACTTACATGGAACACTATATTCACTATAATATTTCAATAACAAACACATTTTTTGAATTGAAAATTGATTTATTTCTTTTTTACATTTGATTTATTTACTAAAGAACTTAGACGAAATTACAAGGATAATTATGCATATAATTTTCTTAACTAATTACGAAGTGTCTTAGCATTTATTGCATTTTAATAACTTTAAGTACCTCATTTATGATTTATAGTATTATAATTACTTGTTTCTAACATAAAATCGTAAATGTGGTAAGTGCATATAAATATGTATGCTTATATATTTCTATGTACACAGTATTTTGTATTTATAAGTACCTTAACGCCGCAATAATCAATACAAATGTACGAGTTCTAATCGACTAACTAAAACCTTTAAAACACAGCAACGTCAAAATTACATAACGCACACCTACTCACATATATACATATGTATGCAAGCGTGTGTAGTTTGCAAATAATAATAAGAAAATCAAAATCGGTCCCTAGCTACACCTAAAAAATATGTTTTTGTCTTTTTTTCAATTTCAACAAAATATTAAAAGTTTCGCTACAATAATTATAATAAATAGTTGTTATCGAAATTGTTGCAGCATTCAACTTAAACTAGTTGGTTTTTATGCTAAATATTACATAAATAAATTAAACCGATTAATGCTGCTGTGAAATCGTTTATTTTGAGGCTTGAATATCTTAAAATGCTATTAACACATAAGCCCGTTAGGTCCACACACAGGCAATTACACATTACATACACATACATACAGATTTGCACATTGGTTGTTGTATTAGTGTTGTTGCTTTTCATTACGTTACGTTTTATATGATCATTGAATTTCGAGAGTTGAATTAACGCTGAACCACCAATACTTAATTCTTGAGTTTAATTTAAAAATTCTAACAATCAACGCTTGCGAATATATTTTGGTTTCGTATGTGAGAGTGTATGAGTGTGTGTGCGTGAGAATTCTGGTTTAATGTTACACGTCAGTTTAAAACCAATAAAGATCCTTAGACGATTCCTGTACTTGGGCATCAAGGCCTGCAATGAAAATGAAGGTATATTTATGAGTTGGGAAGTCAATTATAATATCTATATATATATAAACATGGACATCTTTGATTCACTAAGTCTTTTAAAATAAGCTAGGTTAGGTTCGATCCAGGCTGATCCATAAAATGGGGATCGCACTTGGGCTACCAACGTGTGATACAAGTTGAGGTACTTTTTTCAGAACTGAAGCCGCTCGACCTTTCCAAGCAACATCGTTTCGCTCTAGGGGCTCTTTAAAAGTTTCAAGAAGATCCGACGTTTCGAGCCAAATTTTGTTCATCCGCTTCCCACACAACGCATCAATAAATGGATTCATAGAGGGAAAACTTCGATGAGCATATAATTTCACGTGTATTTTCATCATGTATTGTCATACCGTTAGACTTTTTCCTGCGGGTATATGTAAAGTCCATGCTGACAATCATCCTTCGACTCAGGCCTTTTCGCTAAACTCCTTTGTGAAATCATAAAAAAGAACTGCCGTATTCGATTTTATAAAACTAAAAGGTTCCTTAAGCCTGATTCCTCAGTATAGTTCAATTAGTATCTGAATGTGTGCAATACCGATTTCGCAAAAGGCGAGAAAATCAAGAAAGAATTGTTGAAGTGTTCTAACTCGTTTTCTTTAAAACAGCTTCTACAGCTGGCAGCTGGTAAAATTCTTAACCTTACAAATTGAATGCCGATAGAACAGTGATTTGTTGGAATCCCTACATGTAAGAAGAGGGCTCGAACTTGGGCCCAAATAATATTGCGACAGCGTCAAATGATAGCCCTGGCCATGTCTTTGCAATGAACAGTTATCCAGTAGTAAAACACGCGAATAGAGCGGAGCACCCAAGCATTCAACTGTTAGCGGGGCTGGGGTGCCTTTCTTGCCAGATCGCCAATTTTACAGATACCTGCTATTTCGCTGTGGCTTGGCATCCTTACTAATCTTTTCATAAAGTGACTCGATGCCATTGATAACGAGTTTTATTACAGACGATGAGCTCGAGTTGTCGCAAGAATCGAGAGTGAGAGAGAGGTTAAACTCCCACTTCCAGAATCGGTCCCGGCATGTCAAATATATTTCCAGCGTGCAACAATTCTGCGCATGACACTAACCACTTTTTTACATGCCCAGCTCACCCTACACATCTGGCTCCTCTCGCACAATGGTCCGACTACGTTGAAATAGCACGTTTCCTGAGAATACTGCCGGATGACCTCAATGTCATCTGAACCTTGCCGTCCTAATGTGGACTAGATAACCGTTACAACAACAACAGTTTAGGCATCCCTTAACCATCCCTGAATACACGATTAGTGAGCTCAAAGTTAATATTGGTGTACTCATATATTTTTGGGTCAATTTCGTTCTAAATTGTAATGTCTGTAGTAGGGCAATAACATAGTCTATAGCTTTTAACTTAATCTATCTCTAACACCATATTTGTTCGAAAAAACACGCATTTAGAATATGGACCCTCTCATAGTATATCAACCGTTTGACAGACAAAAACCTTTACTCGAGCAAAAGTTCAAAAATATAATCAACGAGCGTTTGTTTAAGCCAACTGGATTCACACCACACTGTATACATACAAGTACATATATTTATACAATATGTATTTACTTATAGGGGTGTACATGAGCGGCTTGAAATGTGTGGGTGGCAGTTCTTTTCAATTTTACTGCGGAGACATTCCAGACTGGCGGCCATTTTTATTGTTTTATGGCTTTTGTCCTTTCGACCTCGTATGCGGTGAGCATATGTTACATACATGACATAGGTACATATGCTCGTGCTATGAAGTAGTATGTGTATGTATGTAAATTTGTCAAATCAACTTGGGGACAAGTAACCACCAAAAATGTTTTACAAATGTAACTGCATACATATGTATGTATATAACATACATATACTCGTGTGTATTCGTGTACACTCAAAAGAAGCACAGAGCGACGTTCGAAGTTTGTAAGTAAACTTTTATGTGTTTATGGTCGAATAAGATAGACATATGTAAATATATGTAAAGTGTATGTACATACACTTAAGTGCGGTTTCACGCACATCCTTTTTTCAAACAAATTTTCAACGTGTTCAAAAGGGTCCCCTGTGCTGAACCATGCTTTTCAATAGCTGGAGTTGCCATAGTTACCGTCCTATACATATGTATGTACATATGTAATTGTTTATATATTATTTGTCTAAAAATGGATACCCAGGCATATGAAAGGACACTTTGAGGCTTAAACTTACTTTCATTTGCTCCCATATAATCGTAAAATTGAAGGAGTGATGATATTGCTTTGGAAAATGGGGGAACCAAGGCTTAGGATATTCAACTGTACTTCTGGAAGTGGTTTGCTCATGAACTTATGCACAAAAAGTTGACGCATTTGGCGGTTCATGCCTTTTTTGCTGACGCAGACAAATATTTTAGTATTTTTTGAAATTTTAAATCGAATGGCAGAAGGATTTTGATGAGCACTTTTGCTCAGCTAAGAATAACTAAGAATTCTGCAAGCTCCTGCTGAAACTAAAGCGAATGAAAAACGAAGCTTTTTGGTTATTTTACACATTACTCCGGCCGGTTCCTGAATGAAGGAATAGAGGCAGGTATTCACACAAAAAATTTAATAGTAGTTGCCACTTAAAAGGTGCTCTCCATTGCGAATAAGTGCGATGTTCAATCTTAACATGGTTCAAAAACATCAAAGGCTAAGAAAAAAAAGCTTGGATGAGAGCGGATATTTTCCACTGTCCACGTGTATGTGTAATACATATCAACATTACGTGCGTTATGGTAAATATTAACCTTTGTGAAAACTATATCTATGAATGTACATACATATTTATATGTGTACATATGAGTATATACATATGTTTTTACATATTAGTTGCCCTTTTTGTGCGTGTCTACTCACCTGCCATTGTGGGGTAACTGGAATAGGCTGCCGCACTTTCGAGCGCATGCGCGGTCTGTTGGTCATGATGCAGTCTGCAATGAGAAAAGTTTCTAACAAATAAATATTTACATTAAAATTTTTCGCAAATATCAAGTCCACACACATAGATAAATAAAAACTTGTAAATTTATTATTAAAATAATAAATAAAAAGTGCAAGGCAATGTGACTTCGAGAACAACATACATAATACCATATTAATTAAGGTGTTACCGTTTTAATCTTTTTTTGAGCATCTTGAATTGCAAATGTGCCGAACATATGCTATGTTAATAAGTCATAACCTCACACTATTTGTTAGCAAAATTCATAACCTCACACGATTTATTAGAATTCATTCCTGTCTACTTAAATCTCAATAAATTCTTATAGGCCAATTTGGCTCTAGAAAGACGAAAAATAAGTAAAATGGTGACAAAACTTAATTTCTATTGCAACGAAGCAATAATACCCTTCAAAAATATATTTTTTTTCATATAGGAAGTTGAGTTTGATCTAGATTGTATAGCATCAATATCCTAATGAATTGTCCAAGTCGATGTACTTTTTTCTTTTCGCAACACCATCACCCATTTTGAACCCAGCATTCTTTACTTGATAATATTCGACCTAATAAACCACGTCCAGCACGCAGTGAAGAAAAAATAGCAGCCGTAGCTTCGAGGCTACACGAAGACCAAAGAGAGTCGATTCGGCGCCATTCGATGCGTATGGAATGACTTGGCGCATGTTACGTCGAGATCTTAAATTGAAAGCGTACATAATTCAACTTGTGCCAGTACTAAAGCCACCCGATCTGCCCAAGGGACAGCGCTTCGCTCTATGGATTCGATGAAAATGTGACCGTCAATGGTGAACGTTACAGCGCCGAGATAACCGAATATTTAATGCCTCAAATTGAAGCTCGTGATCTCAGCGACATTTGGCTTCTACAAGACGGCACTACAGACACATCGCATGAATCAATGGATTTATTGAGAGAATACTTCGATGAGCATATAATTTCACATTTTGGGTCGGACAATTGCCCACCAAGAGCATGTGATATCAAAGCGTTAGGTTTTTTCCTGTGGGGATATTTAAAGTGTCTATGCGAACAATTTCCCTTCGATTCAGGCCTTGGAGTAAAACATCGCGCGTGTCATTCGCCAGTTACCTGTCGAAATCGTCGAATGAATAATCGAAAATTGGACTTAACGCATGGACCATCTGAGACGGCCAACATTTGAAAGAGATAATCTTCAAAAAAAATAAATGTCAAAGAATGTTCATTCAAAAGATAATAAACATTCTCCATTAAAATTGAAGTTTCTGTGTTTTTTCTTTAAAAAAGTAGGGTACCTCGAAATGAATCATCCTTTAATAATATGCTCTTAGCAGCTGTTCCGACAAATGAGCAGCTTCTTAGTATCTCAAACTATTTTTGTGGCACAGACCGATGGACATGGCTAAATCTACTCAGCTCGTTACTCTGGTCATTTATCATAAATATATTTACGGAGTCTAGGACTTTTTCTTTTGGGGGTTAAAATCTTCGTGACAAAACTTTTCAACTAGCCTAATCTCTAATACATCCCAGAGCCATTTCAAACTTTGATACTTAATATATTAATCTATTAAATGATTTTCTGCATAAAAATAATTTTTAATTATGATATCTGTTTGCATTTCAGTTCATTTAACCACCATGAATAACACTCTTACTAAAAATTAAAACTGTAAATTTTTTTTCGAGAAAAGTTGATCATCCCTAATAACAAACCCACATTCGCATATTAAATAAAAAAATATATTAAAGAAAATTTGTGTACTGCATTTACCTGGTACCGTGGCTATATTGCTGTGGCAGCCGTAGCAGGCTACCGTATTGCGCCATATTGTGGTGGTAGGCATGCGCGTGAGCGGCGTGGGCATGTGCAGCGTGCGCATAAGAGCCGTAATGTGCGGCGGCCGCATGTGGCACCCAGGGATCGGTTGCGTAGCCACCGTCCGATGCATACAAATCGCCAACCTAAAAACAGAGACAAAATCATCAGAAAGTAATGTCTTGGTCGAATTCTTCTAGAATTTATAGGCAGTTGCTAACTTGTTGTGATAACTTTATACGCCTAGACATCGCTTGCTTAACAAATTTGTAAATATTCATGCTTATATCTACAATTATCATACCTGCGGATGTGTTGGTGCGGGTACGGGGTGTACATAATTGCTATTCCAAAACGAAGGTGGGAAGTTTCTTGCTGACATGGGGCTACTCGTTTCTGTAAAGAAAAAAATATAGAAAATTTATGAATTTATTTTATTATTGTATCAAGTATGACTAAAAGTTGATATGATAAACATCCGTCATTCCACATCTCAAATTATACTTTTGTTCAATAATAATACACTTTGCCAATATATTATTCTGTATAAAAGTAAAATTACAAAGAAACTGTCTATCTTCTTTGACAATCGGAAAAACATCTATTCTTATTTTACAAATTTATTTTTAATAGAATATTAGAAAAGTTTGTAGATCTTCAGGTTATTAATTGCACATCCTAGACCAAATCGTGTAGCTTGAATGAAATAAACATCGTTTACAGCATTTCGGTGTAGAAAATATTCCACATATATATAATTCAGAAAACTTGTTGACTGAAAGATTACAGATCCGTCAAATTCTTGAAGATGACCAAAATGTCAATTAATAACCAATAATATTTGGAAAGGATGTCAACACAAATATAGTTTCACAGTAAAATAAGCCCAATGTTTTTTCAATAGGTGGGTTTAGTGGTCTGTACCTCTCGTTGTATGCTGCGATCAAGTTTGGCTATATGATGTCAAAAATATTGGGTGGTTAAAAAGTCTTTTCGTATTTTGTCAATAGATGACTTTGCACGTTGACGTTGAAAAGGTCGATGAAATTAGGCAAAAGATTGACCAGGACCGTCACATCATCAAACGGTTTTGAACCACAAAAGAAAAGTTAGCTTTTCGTCGAGAAACCAAAAATGTTTTACACTGATGGAATAATGTTTCTAGCGGAAAAATGACCAAAATGGTATCAATTTGGTTCATTAGAGTTTATTATAAATATAAAAAAAAGTTAGTTGGACTTTGATTAGAAATACGGAAAGACTTCTTCGACTCCCCTGTATCTTACTAAAGACATTGCACGACTGTTTTGTCACTCTTTCAGTCAGTATATTTTGATGTCAGACACGTGTCCATGAGAATAGAAAATACCCAAAAACACATGCCCGATGGCTGGAAATGAAAATAATGTTTATGACCTTGATACTATGATCCAATAAAGCGATCTCAAAAATAAGATTAAAAATTTATTTTTAATTTTCGGTCCCAAACACCGGAAAAAGCAGAAAAAATGGTTGTCTGAAGCTTATAATTAAAAATTAAAAGAAGAAACATTTTTGCTTAGAAATATGTAAATAATTCCTTTTATCAACCTTATTGATTACAACTTTTAATTAGAAAAATATTGAATTTTTAACTTAAAAAATGTTTTCTCAATTTTTATTCTAAGATGTTTGGGATTCAATTTTTATTATTATAAAAGATTTAAATTCACCGAAAAAAAAATATAATACTAATTATTACAAAATTTTAATCCCAAAAATTTTAGGCAAAAAGTTCCGAAATCAGAAGATGGAACCAAAAAAATTTAGTTCTAAATCCCAACATTTTGGATTTTATTCAAATTGGAATTATTATAATTTTAAAAGCAAATTTTTAGTCCAAAAAAATTTGAATTAAAAACTTCGCAACCCTTTTGTTGAATTAAAACTCTGAGAGGCATATTTATTATTATAATCATTTAGGTTATTATCACAGTAGAGTTATTTCACAATGTATTTTGTTTTTCTTTTTGTCCTCTAAGGTCAGTTGGGAGTATAAAATATTTGATTAAATTAATATCATTCACTGGAATGTTAATGTTTAAATTTCCAAAAGATTTTTATAGCTAATTCTACCACTCTCGAAAACACTTCTTCCCTCAATCCCATTCTTAAAACAAGCACCCTCTTGCTATAGCCACAGCTGCCGCCTCCACTGATTACCGCCAGCAGTTGGAAGTATTTTGTGGCATTCGTAGTTTCAATTGGTTGGCATTGAGGAATTGAAAGTGAATTTAAATGATGCTTGCGCTAGCCTCCGCTACCGACTTTCGGTGCAAGCGCTGCCGCGGCGGCCTAACACGGCGTGATGGAGACATCTTGGCGCACGTATGCGGTTGTTGTTTGTCGTTATGGATTCGTGTTCGGTTTGTCTTGTTGTTGCTTCTGTTCATTTTCGTCTTTATTTAACTTTTTTACTTTCGCGGTGTTTTGATGCTTTTGGTTTGCATGTGGCATGTGTGTGTATGGATTTGTGTTTACGCATGCACGTTAACGTGCCTCAATTGTGTTGGTATTAATGGGAATTCCTTAGCGTCATTTCGTATGCGCATCGATGGGCTGACGACAGACTTCGCAGCTGACTGGCGGGACTGGTTACCAGCAGTTGTCTTCGACTAACTGGAGCAGACTGGGGCATTGCTGCTAACAAGGAATTGGGTGTGTTTGCCCCCAATGCAACGCGTTGCATGTAAACATCAATCTATGCACGTTTGTGTTTATACTGTGTATGTGCTTTGTTGTTGTTGYCTATTTGCGCCTGATTTTGGCTCTGTGCTGGAGCCACTGTGGCACGCGGCATCTGAGCATTGGCATAAGCAGAAGGCGTAATACGACGCGCCGCCGGCGACTGCTACTGGTGTGGCACCGAGCGCTTGCGCTGTTGTTGTTGTCACAATTTTGTAACATTCAAGCTGCACAGTACAGCTCGTAGAGTATCAAAACACATGTAGCGCGCACAAAGAGTGCAAACAAATGCGATTCCCGCACTAAATTGAGTTCGGAATGTTGTCAGTCGTTGGTAGAGTCAGACTCATCCGCGTCGCCATCGGCTGCGGCATTGCCGTCATAGAGCCATAGCAGCAACAGCAACAACAATAGCAACAGCAGCAGCCACATTAGCTGCCACAGCTTGTGCAACATCGTCTGCCGCCACTACCAAATCTAACCGCCTATTTATTGGTTAATGCAGTATGACTGTGCAGCACCGCGTTGCGCGCTGAGCGTTGATCGTGCGACAATACGAAATTCCGGCTGTTGCATTCCATCGCAGCACAAAGGCAAGTGTTGAGTAGTGTTTGCTGTTATTCGCTCTATTTTTGGTAGTTAAACTTCACGGGACTTAATAGTGCAAGCGTTTATGCATTTATTATTCCATGTGGTCACGTTCAATGAACACTCTTGCATACACACACACACGCATATATAAACAGCTTAACAAGCTGAGGTACATACAGAGAGACGTGCCTTTATTTAGCTAAACTATTTCATATTAATGAGTTTAATTTATTGCAGTAATTGGTAAGTGAGTCCTTTTATTTTTATATCCGACGCACTACTATGGCACTAGGGCATTATAACGCTATACGCATAACTGTTAACGGCAAACAGCTATGCTCAATATACGCACTATTAGTAGTGAAATACATACTATATAAAACGCCCAGCCATATAAAAGTATTTTTGTGAATAGGTATTCGGGTATATTTTGAATGAAAGTATTCAGTTACAGTTCATATGCTTGACATTATTATCATTGAACCGATATCGAATTGAAAAAATGTCAAATTTCTCGATATATAGGACTAACCAAAATATGTCGAAATATCTTTATATATAAAAATTACGTGTCACATTGTTTGTCTCCTGGACTCCATGGACTCCTAAACTAGTGAACCGATTTTAGCAAAATTTAGCACACTGTGTTCTGTTCGAAGCAACTTAGTAGATAGGATAGTCAAACCAATTTATAAATAAGAAATATAGTGAAAGCTGTATTAAATGGACGCTCTATTAAGCGAACATCTCAATAAGCATATTGATCTGTCTCACAATTTGTTGATATTTATTACAATATATTAAGAGGACAACTGTAATAACAGTTACTGGTTCGTCAATGTTTATGGGAAATATCACTGAATATATTTCTAAACATACGCATGTATTCACAATCCGCAAAAAAAATATAATACAGTTCAACTTCCATAACTCGAAGTTCTGCATAACTCGAACTGTTGAATTAGCAAAAGAAGTAAAGTAAAAGCTAACTCTTGAGGGAAATGGTCCTCAATGCCTGTTTAGCAGCCATTTGTCAGTTATGTTTCGGTAAACTTAACCAAGATTCCTTCTTTCGGAAAAGACCGTTTCATTTTAAATATTTAATATTTAATATTTTTATATTGAATAGTACGAGTATAAGTATAAAATATATACCACAGAAACGCGTGGCCGGATCCTCTAGTACATATGTATATAGAGGGTGATCCATTTCGAAGCTTGCTACTTTTTAAAGAGAAAACATAGAAACCTCAAATTTAATGGGGAATGTTTATTATCATTCGAAAGAATATTTTTTGTCATTTCTATTTCGAAAATTATCCGTTTCAGTTGTTGGCTTGGGCTACGTCTCAGATATCTCAGATGGTATCTGTCCACCGAAGTGTTATTTCAATGAAACCATTGATTGAAGCGTGTGTCCTTTAATATGACAAAACAGTTTAAACAAATGGCTCCAAGATCACTAGCTTCAATTTCAGACATGAAAAAGTCATATCGCCATAACTGTGGCCATTAATGGTTATGTTCTCACCGGTACCATTTTGAAGAAATATAGACCGATTATTCCACCGACCCACAAACCACACCAAACTGTTATTATTTTTGGATGAAATGACAGCTCTTGAAAGTCTTCATGCTTTTTCTCGTCCCAAATGCGACAATTTTTTATGTTTACATACACACTGAACCAGAAATGGGCCTCATAGCTGCACAAAATTTGGCTCGAAAACGTTGGATCTTCTTGGAACTTTTCAAGAGTCCTTAGAGCAAAACCATGTCGCTTGATAAGGTCGAGCAGCTTTAGTTCTTGCACAAGCTGTATTTTGTTCGCTTTCAATTTAAGATCTAAACATAAAATGCGCCAAGCCGTTCCATCCACCAAATCGACTCTCAACGGTCTTCTATTTTCTTCATTGCGTGCTGGCCGATGGGTGGGTCTCAAGATAGGTGATGGTTTTGCGAACAGTACGCTCAGTAGGCCGGATGTTGACCATAAGTTGAGCGAAGCGTGACGCACAAGTAACGCGTGACCCGTACCTTTGAATTTTCCACCTAGCGGTACATTTTTTGTGGCAATCAAG